ACTTTTATAATGATTAAAATACCATTTTTTCATAATACTCAGAAAAAAATAATTATAATTTTATTACCATGCGCGCGATATATTTATACAAGCATTCATTTCTCTCTCTGTCTCTCTCTCTCTCTCTATCACTATTTATTTATATTTTTCTAACCATATATGTTTCCGCGTCTCGCATCACATGCACTGAACTTCGTTCCTGCCGAGTGTTCAACAACACTCACTGTTTTATCATTTTATATGTTTTTTTATTTATTGAACATTAAGTTTGAAACACAATTTTCTTTTTAAATCTGAGCTTTAAAATTATTATTATTACAATTTAATTACAATTTAAGAAAATAAGTTTTTATAAAAATTAAATTTGATAATTGTTCAATTTATATTTATATTTTATTAATATTTTATTAAGACTTACTACTGTGCATTCTTTTGTGTCTCTCCATTGTCCCTTTGTGATTGAATTCTTTTAAACACTAAAATAGTTTTAAAATTAGAAAAATCCACTATGCAATTAATATTTTAATAAAATACTAACAATATCACAGGTAAATATTGTATTGGTTCCCATATGGTTTATTTCATGTGTCGATTCAAATTTTTTTTGATTTTTGAATGTTTTTTTACATTTATTGCACACTGCATCTAAATTTTGAGGGGGGGGGGGGTTTAATAAAAATTTATTTGTACACTGATTACTTCCAAGGTGTTTACCCCTCGGCATAAACATAATATACCGAAAATACGAAATGTAGTAATATATTGAATTACAAAAGTATTTAAATTACCTAAATGCATTTTTTCATGGCTTTGTAACAGTAATTTGCTAATGAACTCTCTTTGGCATGTTTTACATTTAATTTTTTTTTCCGTTCCGGGTGGACTTTTCTTAAGTGATTAATGAATATGTCTTTCTGAAGAAATTTTTTGACAATCCTTAAATCAATTCATTATAAGTTAAAATATTCACAATGTATAAATAAATTATATTTACTTGACAAAAAAACGGTCGTCCCTTTTCTCCATTGCAACCTGTTTGCATTGTGTGACGTTTTACATCAAATTTTTTTTGTAAATTGTGTAAAACATCCGGTGCATGAAGGTTTTTAAATTTCCTAAAAACAATCCATATATTGATAAGTTTACAAGTGGGTCACTGTATAATATAATGTATAATATAATGGATTGTATTAAACTTGAACTCAATGATATAATATCATAATATCATTGTATAAGAAAAACGATTCTGAGCGAAGACGGTTTGTCAGTCTGGATATTTTATATTATACGAGTATAATAATATATATTAATATAATATAATAATACATAATATTAGGTATATAAATACGTACTAAGAACCTTTGCTAATTTAATTTTTAGAACTTGGGAGGATTATAACTTAAATTAATGTTTTTTATAGCTGATTTTTTGCTTCCTATTTAAATAACATTTGCTATAAAAATATAATAAAAAAACTATTATTTGACAACTAAATATTGTTTGTGTATATAAATCCATACGTTATCTACAATAAGCGAATTTAGTAACATATCTTGTTGGTCTAATTGTTTATTTATTTTATTGAACGCTTTTTTATTAAAATTTTATATATTTTATTCATCGAATGAATCGGTTTGGGATAGGCCTGATTTGAAAATTGAATACATTACAGCCTGAATCATTCGTAAGAGATAAGTCTACTGGAACTGAGAAATAGAGAAATATGATGTTTGATTTAATACTTGTTCAGTTTTTAGTACACCTTTCGAGGTGTAGCAGCAATACCCCCAGACTTCAAGTATAACTTCCAGAACTTTTAAGTTTTAATTTTTTGAGTGAAAAGCCGGTTTATTACAAATTATAGTAATTGTAGTGGGTTTTTCACATACAAAAAACCAATGATTTTTAAAAATGAGGGATACACATTTCTGTTGGAATTCGAGATATAAGTATAACATTGAGGTGGTTTAGTTACAGAATTTTTTAGTAATTCTGTTACACATGTGTCACAATTATGTATAATTTCATTAAATCCACAAACAAATATTTTATCCACTTACAGTTATTTAAATCTGGCCAAATAAAATATTTGGTCATTATTTTGTCCATTAACAAATACATAGAATTTTTAGTCATATGGAGAAATTGACCATGTTCATTTATTGGAATGTAAATCGGTAATATGTAATAAACGTTGAAATTTTCGCAGTATTCGTTTTTGAATTACAACAAAATAAGAAAATCGCTACATGAGAAATCAAGTGAATATCAAATGTTGTAAAAATTTGAATTTCAACGCTCATAAAAATTTAATTTGACTTTCCGGTAGAGATTTTTTATTATTGAACATTAAGTTGAAACACAATTTGCTCTTTTAAATCTGAGCTTTAAAATTATTATTATTACAATTTAATTACAATTTAAGAAAATAAGTTTTTATCAACATTAAATTTGATAATTGTTCACTTTCTATTTATATTTATTAATATTTTATTACGACTTACTACTGTGCATTCTTTTGGTCTCTCCATTGTCCCTTTGTGATTGAATTCTTTTAAACACTAAAATAGTTTTAAAATTAGAAAAATCCACTATGCAATTAATATTTTAATAAAATACTAACAATATCACAGGTAAATATTGTATTGGTTCCCATATGTATTTTCATGTGTCGATTCAAATTTTTTTGATTTTTGAATGTTTTTTTACATTATGCTCACCCTGCATCTAAATTTGAGGGGGGGGGGTTTAAATAAAATATTATTGTACACTGATTACTTCCAAGGTGTTACCCTCGGCATAAACATAATATACAGAAAATAAGAAATGTAGGTAATATATTGAATTACAAAAAGTATTTAATTTACCTACAATGCATTTTTCATGGCTTTGTAACAGTAATTTGCTAATGACCTCTTCTTGGCATGTTTACATTTAATTTTTTCCGTTCCGTGTGGACTTTCTTAAGTGATTAATGAATATGTCTTTTTTTCTGAAGAAAATTTTTTGACAATCCTAAATCAATTCATTATAAGTTAAAATATTCACAATGTATAAATAAATTATATTTACTTGACAAAAAAACGGTCGTCCCTTTTCTCCATTGCAACCTGTTTGCATTGTGTGACGTTTTACATCAAATTTTTTTGTAAATTGTGTAAAACATCCGGTGCATGAATGTTTTAAATTTCCTAAAAACAATCCATATATTTATCAGTTTTACAAGTGGGTTACTGTATAATATAATTGTATAATATAATGGATGTATTAAACTTGAACTAATGATATAATATCATAATATCATTGTATAGAAAAACGATCTGAGCGAGACTGGTTTGTCAGTCTGGATATTTTTATATTATACGAGTATAATAATATATATTAATATTAATATAGTAATACATAATATTAGGTATATAAATACGTACTAAGACCTTGCTAAATTAATTTTAGAACTTGGGAAGGATATAACTTAAATTAATGTTTTTATAGCTGATTTTTTGCTTCCTATTTAAATAACATTTTGCTATAAAATATAATAAAAAAACTATTATTATGACAACTAAATATTTGTTTGTGTATATAAATCCATACGTTTTATCTACAATAAGCGAATTTAGTAACATATCTGTGGTCTACTTGTTTATTTATTTTATTGAACGCTTTTTTATTAAATTTTATATATTTTATTTCATCGAAATGAATCGGTTTGGGATAGGCCTGATTTGAAAAATTGAATACATTACAGCATGAATCATTCGTAAGAGATAAGTCTACTGGAACTGAGAAATAGAGAAATATGATGTTTGATTTAATACTTGTTCAGTTTTTAGTACACCTTTCCAGGGAAATTTAAAGATTAAATTAAATCTGAAATATTATTAGAATTCATTGCTTTACGTCCTAAACTTTACGCGTATAAAACAAATAGCGAAGAAGTTAAAAAAGCTAAGGGTGTAAAAAAGTATGTAATAGATAAACACATAAAATTCAATGAATATTTAGAAATTTATCTTACCCTAAAGAACTTCATGATCTACATTCAGATTTCCCTTTAGCACCAGAAAGACATTTTGATAACAAACAACTCCCAAAATTATTAACAACTTTGTATGATAAGAAAAAATATATAATACATTATGAAACACTAAAATTATATATTAATTTAGGTTTAAAGATAGAGAAAATTCATAGAGTGTTAGAATTTAGTCAATCTAATTGGTTAAAAGTGTATATTGATTTTAATACTAATCTTAGATCAGAAGCTAAGAATGAGTTTGAAAAAGAATATTTCAAATTAATGAACAATAGTGTTTACGGACGTACTCGTCGGCTTCCTGCCAAAACTCGGTAACGGCATATTTCACTATTTTGAGATAATGGCGCTATCTAGTGTTAAACATTATTTTCTAACGATTTTAAAGAGACGTCTTAAGTGAAATTCCTACTCTAACCTGTCACAAACTTACAGTTTCTTATTTTCACTAACGGAGAAAGACATAAATATAAAGAGTTAAAAGTCACTAATGGTTTAGTGAGTTTTGGCATAAACAAGATTAATGAAATATTGAGAGCCAAAATTCACTATCGGTAAAAATGAAAATGTAAAATCACAATGACTATGGTATACTGGTATAAAACTGTTAAACCCCCCAAAATTAGTCAAAATTGATCCCCATATTAGTACTAAAATACCACAGGTTTCAGTGTATCGAAAAATATTTTGCACCAACTTTAATTATTCATTCTTTAAGCCTAAAAAAGACCAGTGCGCTGCCTGTGATAGATATAAAACAGCAAGCATTGAAGATAAAATAGAACTAGAACAAAGTAACAATGAGCATTTAGATAGGATGCACCAATCTTTTATAGCAAAATATATTGACAATACATTAACAAAAATAACCAGTAACTATGTGGTTGCCAGTTTTGATTTTCAATCTATACTACAGATAACATGTTAAGATGTATCGTTAATGTACTATAGTAGAAAACTGAATATGTTTAACTTAACTGTATATGAAGTAGCTCCTCCTCATAATGCACATTACTTTACATGGACCGAAATTAATGGAAAACGTGGTAGTTCAGAGATTGGTTCCTGTCTTCTTAAGTGGATTCAAACATTACCCACTGAAGTAACAAATATAACACTATATTCAGATTCATGTGGTGGCCAGAATAGGAATCATAATATTATGGCACTAATGATTTATATTATTCAAAGAACAAACATAAATCAAATAGAACATAAATTTATGGAGAGTGGCCACTCCATGATGGAGGTTGATTCCATGCACAGTGCTATAGAAAATGCCAAAAGAAATATTCCAATTTACGCGGTTTAAGATTGGCTAACTATTTTCCAAGTTGCAAGATCAACACGAAATAGAAATAAATCTAAACCTCCGTATGAAGTAAAAGAAATGCAATACAAGGATTTTATAAACTTACAACAACTTTCTTCTTCATTAATAAAGAATAAAAAAGTTGACACTGAAGGTAATATAATGAACTGGTTGAAAGTTAAATGTTTTGAATACAAAACAAATAATCCTTATATTGTTGGTTATAAATATGATTATTTTAACGAATATTAATACATTAATGTTGGAAAAAAAATGTTAGGAGCAAACTTGCAACAACCAATATAAATAATTTAGAGCTTAAATGTTTATATTCAAAACCATTTCCAATAAGTCATGAAAAGAAAAAGGACCTACTTAAGCTATGTGAAAAGAATGTAATACCAGATATTATGTTTCATACATTTTATAAAAGTTTGCCAAGTATTCCTCTTAAAAAAGATAAAGCTCCAGAACCAGGAGAATCCGATTCAGAATTAGATGAAGATTAAGACTGATTTTTATAATTTTATTATTTTATCCATAAGTTGCAATTTCTTTAAAGTTTTAAATCATTTACATAAAAGTGTTTGTTATTTTCTTTTTATATAATTTTATATTTTTTTTTTTTTCTAGTTTATGAGTTATGTTACTATGACAATAATTTTTAGATAAAAAATACCTATTATTAATTTATTTTACTTTTATTTATCATGATAAACATAACAATAATGATGTTAATAATAAAAAAAATTCACACTTACGCAAATACATTGATAATTGACATAAGTTCAATCTAATGATGATAATCTGACTATGTCCAATAAGCAAAATATTTAATATTAAACCAATAGAGATATCTTCCAGCCAAAACAAATAGTAAAAATCATTTTCATATTCAGTAAAACTCATTAACGGTTAAAATATTTACATACAATACTTTACCAATAAAAAAAATAGTGGTATATTAAATATTTCGAAAAAAATCCGATATATTTTAATGCAGTAATACAAGTAGATTTCATTAAAAATAAAACCATGTAAATATCTTAAAAATTAAAGATTTTTTGGGGTTGAGACCAAAAATTTAGATTTTTAAAAACATCAAAGTCGTTTACTGAACAATTACTATTTTGCCGTTATCGAGTTTTGGCAGGAAGCCGACGCTATGATGAATGTTCAATATCATGTTGATATAAGATTATGTACTGATAGATTCAACCTAGAAAAATTAATTGCAAAACCAAATTTTGATCGAAGGACAATTTTTCAGAAAATTTAGCTGCAGTACATATGAAAAGAACAAAAATATCTTTCAAACAACCAATATATAAAGGAATGTGTGTTTTAGATTTATCTAAAATGTTAATGTATGATTTTTATTATAATATTATAAAGAAAAAATATGTAAATAGAGTTAGATTGATGTATACAGATACAGATTCACTAATATTAGAAATAAAAACTAATGATTTTTATCAAGATATGAAAATTATGTTAGATCATTTTGGCACTTCAGATTATCCAAAAGGTAATATTTATGGTTTAACTTTAGTTAACAAAAAAGTTTTAGGCAAGTTTAAAGATGAGTTAAATGGAAAAATAATGACTGAATTTATAGGTTTAAGATAAAAATTATATTCACATCGAATCTTAGGTACTGAAAAATAAATTAAAAAAATAAAGGTGTTAATAAAAATGTTGTGGAAAATAAAATATGTTTTAATGATTTTGAAAATTGTTTACTAACAAAACAATCAAAATATGTTAAACAACATTTATTTAGAACTAAGAAACATGATATTTTTAATGTAGAACAAAACAAAAAAGCTTTAAGTGTTTATGATGATAAAAGATTTATTTTGGAAAATAGTATTGATACATTAGCTTGGGGACATTATAAAATAAATATAGATAAAAATGATTTTTTAAACCATCTCAATACACTAGAAATCAAAATGAAAAAGATTAGAAAAATATTTTTAGGAAATATTGCATTTCGATTTTTAATTATTAATAATATAAGTTTTATGAAAAGTATTTTAATTATTAATATCATAAGTATTATGAAAAATATTTTAATTACTATTGCATTTCGATTTTATTTTTAATAGAAAAATTCTATTAAAAAATATTTTGATTATTATTGCATTTCGATTTTAATTATTAATAATTAAGTTTTGCGGAATATATTTTTATTATTTTTGCATTTCGATTTTCTGATCTTTTTGTACATTGTTTTCTTTGTGATCTTTTATTGATATAAAATGGAGCTGTCCCAGGAATGGTACATATATACTACTAGTATACATACATTCATTATTATCACGGGAAATCGTCAATAAATAAGATATTTAGATATGCCATAATCGTCTACATGCCTCGCGTACGTATGTATTTATGGGTCTAACTACCACTTCTTTTTTTGTCAAGAACTTCTGTTTCTAATTCCAACGATACGTGTCGAAAATTGTCATGATTTTCATTCTGAAAAAATATTCGGATTGTCTGTAATATATACAAGGGGACACAATCGAGCCACATTTTTGTATTTGACCTACTCGCTCGACGAAAACTGGTCGCAGCAGCGTAGGCCGCCGCGTCATCTGAGCGCTAGTGGTGATCGTACTACATTACTACAGCTGTCAGCTATAATAGTAGTATACTACCGTATATTTTTTATAACGCTTGCCAGATGTACGGTTTGGATCGTATTTGTACGGTTACCTATTTGAGGTCTTGTACGGTGTACGATCCAAAAACTAATACCGTACACTAAAATACGGTTATCTATCACAAATATGAAAAATATAATATTTTTCTAATTTTAGCAAAATAAAAACTAGGTGAATCGGTAAAAATAATAATAATTACCACGTAAACCATTATTATGATAAGATTACTAAATATTAGTTATATAATCTTGATAATAACTAATATACAACTATCTAAATCAGAGCTCAGTGTGTAATGTGTACTGTCAATACCATGTTGTACATTTGAGTATACACTACCTATACGTCTATACGTCTAACGTCTGTCGTCTATGCAGTTTGGTGTTATTTATTTGAAAATGTCGGATTATGAAGACACACCAGAGGTTTGATTATTTATATTGACTGTAAAATAAATTATTATTCATTAAAGATTTAAAGCTCTATTTTCTAAAATATATTTTAGTACCCACGAGATCAACAATTAACGCCAAAGGAAAAAAGACAATTAAGAAATGAATGTTACAAAGATGAAAAGCAGAAACACCGAAAGCAGCAATATCGTCACGAGTGGGAAATGGACCCTAAATAAATTTAAAAACTGGTTAAGACCAGAAAAATATGACAAATTTCGAGGTAAATGCATACAATGTCAGGTTAGTTTTTCGTCGGAACTAAGTTGTATAAAAAAACATTTAGTGAGTAAAAGTCATCCAAAGTCGTCTATCAGTAATTCTATTTCCTCATAATCAATTATGTCCACGTTTTTATCAACTTCCAAACCAGATCCATTGGATAAACAAGTAAAAAATGCAGAAATTAAATTAGCTGCCATGTTAGCAGAGCATAATACTGCTTTCTTGTTTATTGACCATTTAGTACCAGTATTAAAAAAAATATTTCCTGATTCTTTGATTTGTCAAAGAATTCAGTTAAAACGCACAAAGGCTACAAACATAATTAAAAATGTTATCGCTCCTTCGGAAAAAGTAGCATTAAGTACAAAATTGAAAAATGTTAAATTTTCAGTATTAATTGATGAGTCAACTGACATAGCATGTCATTATGTCAATCTACCATGTGCGTGGTTGTAAGATATTATGACATTGACTCGAAAATGATTGTTACTCGTTTCTGGGATTTAATACAAGTTTATGACATAAAGGATTCTGATAACATTGATAAAGGAGCTACTGCACAAAACCTTTTTACAAAATGCATAGAATCGTTTAAAAAATTAGATGTCGATACAACAAATATTATAGGATTTGCTTCTGATGGTTGTTCTACAATGATGGGCTCTCATAATTCTGTTTCAAGTAGAATGAAAGATATGTTCCCCGGAATTTTTATTATGAAGTGCATATGTCACTCCTTACATCATTGTTGTAGCCAAGCATGCAAAACACTACCACTTCGTTGTGAAGATTTAGCTAGGAATATTTTTAACTTCTTTTGCCATATTAGTAAGAGACAAAGCCAATATGTGCAGTTTCAACAATTTCTTAACATTGAAGTACATAAATTACTCCACCCATCTCAAACGCGATGGTTATCACTATTTGCTGTTGTTCAAAAGATTATTGAACAGTGGGATGCCTTAAACCTATATTTTCTGAGAAATGGCTTTCAGAAAAATTAGCATCAGCCGAAAACATACATTTTCAACTAAATGATCCATTTACCAAAGCCTATTTCTACTTTCTAGAATGGATTTTACCCAAATTCACTGGAATGAACCAATATTTTCAATCAGAACATGTAGTTATAAACACTTTAAATGAAAAGATGGAACTGGTTTGTACAGACTTATTATTATGTTATATGAAAACTCCACTACATTTAATCAATCCGAATGATGAAAATCAATTTTTAAGTACTTCTACAGTTTACTTAGGTGTTAAGGTTCTAAATCAAATAAAAATATCTGCTATTCAACAAAGAAAAGATTTACTTAAAGAATTTTCCAATAGATTTATTAACTTTATTAAAACTAGTTGCTTACAAATTAATAAAAGATATGATTTTTCAAATACAATACTTCCTTTAGTTAATATGTTGACACCATCGGTTGCACTCTCTTCAAAAATGAGGGAAAAGTACCCACCAATCACTTGTTTGTCTGAACAGCTTCACAGAATTGTGAACGGAGATAGTAATATTCAAAAACTAGATGATCAGCGGCGCACTATAGTATTAGTTAGATTACCGAATGAAATTCAAACTGAAAAAGAATCTGATAAATGTTGGACTTTGATTAAAGAATTAGGAACTGGTAAATTCATAGATCTTGCTGAATTTGCACTAGCTGTTTTATCTCTGCCTCATTCTAATGCAAGTTGTGAGAGAGTATTTAGTAAAATCAACTGCATTAAGACTAAATCTAGAAATAAGTTAATAACCAGTACAGTATCTGCAACTGTTATAACAAGTGAATGCTTGAAAAAAAATAATTTAAACTGTATATGTTTTCAACCGACCAAACTTATGTTTGATAGTGTGTCATATACATCTTTATACCCTTCCTCAGTAACCAATAAGAATGAATTAAATACTAATAAGACTATGATCAATATAAATGAGGAAGAAGAAATATTTTTATTAGAAGACTAATTATGTATTAAGTTCAAGTTTCTTAGAAACTTTTGTTATTTTTGTCTATAAATATTTTACCTATTTGTTTTAATTTTTTTTATTTACATTTTGTTAGATATCAGTTTGTAAAAAAATTATTTCATTATATTTATTATATACTAACTACTAACTATATAGTGTTTTGAAATTAAATGTCGAGGGAGACAAATTTTAAATATTTATTATTATTTTTTATTTATTTATATTTATATACCGTTTAAAACACTTGCTTTATATTTATTAAGCTTAAGCTTATTATATTTTAACTTTTATTTATAACTATTTTACCTATTTTGTTATTTATTTTAATTAATTGTTAAATGGAAAGACGCCATACATAAATAAATAAATTTGATTTTTTTATATTATATTTCTGTCTTTCTTTCCCGGAAATACAAATACATTAATAAAAATATGCAATTTGTTGATTTTGGTTTGTGTTATTAATTCATGATTATTGATTACTGAAATGAGTGAACAAGCGAAAAACGTACACTACCTACAATATAATATAAGTATAGTAAGTACTTAACAAAATTAATTATTTCAGTTTTGAAATTTCCTTAAAAAAAAAAAACATTCATAAACAAAATAACAAATTACTTGATACTTTTTAGTCAATCTCCAAAATTAATTTTATACAATAAATATAGAATAACCCTATACAGGTAATATAAAAAATATAACAATGTTAAAACAAAATTACAAAAAAAAAAAATACTTTTAAATATTTAAGTTGGCAGGCAACTAAATTAACTTAAGTCAGACTTCAAATTTACATTAATACAGTCATAGATGGTGGAATTAAAAAAAAATATGGTGATTGAAAATTAATGTATCAAATAGAATCTTAGGTATAAATAGGTAGGTTGCAATTACACATTTTCTGACTAAATCATAGACCGGGCATAGCCCATTCGGCTCCCGATTTTTCTAAACGGCTCCCGTTTTCAAAAGGTAAATTCCCAAACGGCTCCTGTCGAAAAAAAGTTTTACGAACAGGTCAATACCCAAACGGCTCCCATCGAAAAAAGTTATACGATCAGGTAAAATCCGGGTAGTAATCCTGTTTTTTACAACACAAATTCCGTCCCACTTCATACAGACTTAGGACTGTCTCTAAAGATTTGTGGTTAAAAATGTGTTGTTGTTTTTTAAGGTTAAATTATAAAAATTATATTCTGTGAATTAAATGTAAAAAAGTTTTGAAAAATAGACAAAAATGTATAAATAAAAATATAAAAAAAAATGCATGTATAAAAATATAAAAAAAAATAATAGAATAGGTAAATTTTTGATGCACAATTTTTTTATATAATCTATGGTAGTTATTTTATTTGATGAAAATCCTCGGATAATGTCTTCAATGAGCTCCTGTTTTTTTTGTTGGTTTTGGTGTATTTACACCACTTCGAGCTTTAATTTGGGTTTCGGATTGTATTTCGGTTAGTATGTCAATAACCTTAAAAAGGTGGGCAAGTGGGTGTCACTCTGCTGTACAGTAGGTTACAAGTGGGTCACTGTATAATGGATGGTATTAAATTTGAATTCAATGATATAATATCATTGTATAAGAAAAACGATTCTGAGCGGTGACGGTATGTCAGTCTATGTATAAGACATATTATATACATATCTATGGTATTAAACAAAAAATTGACCTATAATAGGTACCTATAATAAATTCCAAATTAATCATATCACAATATCCATTAGATACTTATAACACGTTATACATCAACAAAAACCGTGATACTATCATAGATATATAATAGTACACTTTAGAAGTTTCAAGTACCCACGAATAATATTATTCAATCACAACAAAATAACTAAAATAGTTATTCTAGGTTTTTTAATATGTAATTTCGTCCAAATTTGAATTTAAAATGTCTGTAAAAAATAAGTGTGTTCATATATTTTTTAGATTTTTTGGTTACAGTATGAACTATTTACGAGAACCTTTGTGTTGAATTTGCAATCCTTAGCTATAAAAACTGAACATTTTATAATTTATTAATTACAATGATTGATAATTTTCGAGATTTTGATAAATTTTGTCAAAATTTGATCTTTAAATGCTTATAAAAAAAAACTGTGAATATGTATTTTTAATATTTTTCAACTGCTATTGTAACAATATATCAGGAGCCTTGTATTAAATTTTTACACTTTTTGGCCCAACAGATAAAACTTTATTGATATTTATAGAAAAAAAAACTAAAAAAAATTGAAAGCTGTAAATGTCCATAAACATCTCAAAAAGAATCAAAATATTTTCAAAATTGTATGGTGTATAGAAAATGCTAATTTAAACATTGAGTGAAATTTTCATGTATCTACAGTTGTTCGTTTTTGAATTGCAACAAAATAAGGAAATCGCTACATGAGTAATCGAGTGAATATCCAATGTTGTAAAAATTTGAATTTCAAACGCTCATAAAAATTTAACTTGACTGTCCGGTAGAGATTTTTTTATTGATAAAGGTAGATAATCTTATAAGGAATCTTGTGTTTCATTTTCAAATCTTAGATTTAAAAAGAAAAATTTTTACGAATTCTTAACTCAAAATAATTTGCTAATTTTCGTGATTTTTCCATATTTTGTAAATTTTTGAACTTTAAATGCTTATAAAAAAAAATTGTGACTAAGGATTTTTAATATTTTTCAAGTGCCTTTAAAACAACATATTAGGAGCCTTCTATTAAATTTTCAAGCTTTCGCAACCAACAAATAAAATTTTATTGATATTTCTAGAAAAAAAACTAAAAAAAAATGAAAAATGAAAATGTTCCTAAACAGTTCAAAATAAATCAAAATATTTTGAAAATGTTATCGTGTATAGAAAATGCAAATATAAACAACCAGTGAAAATTTCATGTATCTACGGTCATTTGTTTTAAAGTTACACCAAAAACCAAATTCGATTTTTTGGAAAATCGATTTTCCGTAAAAATTCCCGTTTTTCCTTAATTTTTATGTTGTTTTTCCCGGCGCTTGTGAAAACTACTGGAAAATGTTTACTTTTGACCCCCCAAAGTACCAACTAGATTCACTTTCCTATCAGAAAAGGTACTATTGAAGAAAATCGAAGCACTTTTACTGTCCCAAAACGTGATGACAGACACAAAAATATAAAAATATAAAAATATAAAAACATACATCATTGTAAAACCAATACATTCATCGCTCCGCTCAGAATCTAAAATATTAGGATGAGCAGAATTGAATTCATTGTTGAATCTGCTGTGGAACGATTCACAGCCATTTGTGGTCAAAGCAAGGGAAGATGAACATTCAGCCCACATTTCAGGAGGAAATCGACTATCTGACATCATATAATTTTCAAAAATATAGTCGAACACTTTGTCCACTTTATCGTCTATTGGTTTGATAGCCATTAAATCATCTGTAAAACAGTTCAATACTTCTGACGGTGGTAGGTAAGTAAGGCCAAATAAATATTTTAGAGATTTTCCTATTTCAGATCCTTTGTTTCTAAATTCTGATGCGAGTCTAACTGACTGAATCTTCCGTTACCAACTTTGACCAAATGGAATCTACATCCCTTTATTTTTACCGATGGCTAGGTTTTTCGTATTGCAAAATGAATAGCCTCTTAAAAATCTGCGAAAACAACTTGTGGGTCAATGTAACCACACAATGCTGAAAAAGCTTTTCCGTATGTAACCGAAGTATTATTAGGCAAAAAACAGTAAGTCAGGGGATTTTACGTTATGTAAAACATGGATGGTCAACATTTGGTAAAAAAATGTTGGACAACACTTAAACGTGCCATCAACATAAATACTACGGCTATTCTTGAAAATTTTCAAGTTGGTGTTACATGTAAGAATAATAATATTTGATGCTGTATCATTATGAATTAAATAATCTTCTTCAGTCATACTCCCCAGAAGAGCATAGACCATTGGACTAGAAAAAAATAAAAAAAATTGTGAGAAATATATATTTCTACTTACTACGTTTATCTTTTTTCTTTTGGTAACCCCGTCCTCACTACGGTGGTATACAGGTTCATTATACACCTGTATACCACTCGCACTGGTATTATGTATATGCTTCGTAACTTTCGTAATTTTCATTCTAAAAATCAACAATGAAACCAATTAATATTAAAATTAGTCATTTTTGCTGACACTATGCCATTGTTGTGCCGTGACGGGTTGGCCATGTACAACTAATTATCAAGATGTCAAGAGGCGGTTTTCGAACATTAGTAATGAGTAAAATTTATGATTGTCATGATTAGTTTCTTCTCAAGCAACTATTAGAAATGTATATTGATGTACTTACTTCAGAGTTGACTGTCACCATGGAAATGTCCTCTGTGACTCTTTCCATGGTGACGTCCGTTGCTTCCCCTGTTTGCGGTGTTGGTGTCGCCGGGGTTGGTGTTGGTGGTGGTGGTAGTGGCGGTGGTGGTGGTGCCTTCCCACGGCGGGTAGTAGTGTCTAAAAAAATTATAAAAGTTAATAATAGAATACGCAATAAGTGATCGTGATACAACATAACACACACTCACCCGGACAATTGATAATGATATGCCCCGTTTTTCGACACCTATAGCACCCTGAAACACAAATTAGGCGATACACCTTTTAGTATTAGTTACTCTAGAATTTGTATTTTGTATACATCTACTTACTTCGTTTCTCTTTTTGTTTTTTGTAATTACCCATCCCGCCATGCTCGCGACGGTGGTATAGTTGTGTATGTGTTTTGTAACATTCATTCTAAAAATAAACAATGAAACCAATTAATATTAAAATTAGTCATTTTTGCTGACACTATGCCACTGTTGTGCCGTGACGGGTTGGCCATGTGCAACTAATTATCAAAATGTCACGAGGCGGTTTTCGAACATTAGTAATAAGTTAACGAATACAATTTTGCACCAAAAACAAAACCAGACACGTGGCCAACAGTAATCAATAATCATAGAGTATTAGTCACCTACAGTGAACTCAAAAAACTTGAGTTTTTCCGCAGACAATATTCTACAGACGTGTTGGTCGGATACCTGCATATGTTGTCTCCGTCTTACACACATACGGCATAGTTAATTTCCGTTTACCAGTTGTATGTAGGTATCGATAGTGTGCTGTTAGTTCTACAGTAAATTGACTTATCATTGGACTAAATACTAAGGAGATTATCTATGTTCTCTCGATCGACTTTTTACGGTATTTAAATATTTAAGCGAGTTATGACAGTTATGTCAAATATAAGACAATGATGCATAGATAATAGGTCAATTCACTCGATCACAACAAACAGCACACTATTTAGGGTCCAAACAGACGACCGGATTTTGTTGGGAGCTTCTATAGACTTATGTTACTATAACTAGGTGACGGGAGCGAGGTCCCTTGAGTTTGAAGACCAGAGCCACTATACTTGTGAAGAATCTTACGCGATTTTTTTAATTGGCCCGTAGCCGATTTGCCGCCAGATTACAATGCATCCCATAGTTAAGTCCCGTAGCCATCCCGTAGCTCTGTGTGAAAGTTTTAAAGTTAACAACTAAGAATAACGCCGTCCAGGACTTATAACTGGAAAAATGATTTTTTTTCATTGCACCCCGGCGGGAAATCTCATACTTAGCTGCCGGACGGCTGTCTTAGAGACTTAGGAGTTTTTTCAATGCAATTATCTGATAGCTTAGGCCCCCCTCAATGCAACCATACCATTTGCAGAGCTCTAAGTCCAAAACTCGAATTACATTGATATTTTTATACAGATGTACGTTAGGTTAGGTTTTGATCTTTTTTCGGGGGATCTCAGCTATTAATTTTTAATTGCACCCCGGGGGTAAATATCATACTAAGCTGCCGGACGGCCGTCCTAGACACTTGGGAATTTTTCAATATAAAGCCCAGATAGCTGAGATTATTACTAGTTGGTAATATTCGTAAACAGGACACAGCGTCGTTCGTTATAATAAAATAATAATGTCCATTATCGCCGTCGCCAATAACGATTACATTTCATGGTTTTCGTCTCGAATCAACTGTTTACTTATTGTTCATTATTACATTAAAATATAAAAAAAAATTAAATAAACAAACATCTTATCAATTGTTATCATGGTGACTGTGGCGCGCTAAGAAACGTTACCACATTCATATAATCAGTTGCACCGGGGTTATCTAATTTTTGATAATGTGCATAAGCTTATCAATTATCAGCGTCCCCGTTAAATCTTATAAATTTCAATCGCCATAACCTAATAATTTAGTCATTGCATTACGGAGCTTCTATAGACTTATGTTACTCTAACTGGAGGAGCTCAAGGAGGTACCGTGCCGTTCGTCACCCTAGGATATTTAATGTTATGAATCTGGTACCATTGTATAGTAAGGTTATATATATTATAATGATCAAATTGTTTGTTCGCCATCATATAATCGTGAAATTTATCGGAATAATGTAAATATACAGTTGAATTTGTTCCCACCCCTAATAAATCTAATTGTCCGGAATGTAAAAGGTAACAACGACACAAAGTCATCAAAGAATCGCTATTCCACTTCGCCGCTTTCACACTATATAAAAATATATCTTTTGTCTCGATCTTCAATTCTTCGGTACAGTCATTAACAATAGCCCTATACAACCTATAGCCCCATCTTAAAACACGCGCCATCAATAGACCATCACGTGTAACGCTAGAAGCTCTTGGACGGTAAGCTATCTGATGTCCGAAGTCCAATATTTCACCTGAGAACCCATAAGAGGCGTCGATTAACTCTTGCGCCGATGTAACATGCTTATTTCGCGGGAATATGTCCAAAATTACCTCAAGCCATCTACCGGCAGGCTTAAATACTATTTCACAACTTGACATCACACATATCTGACATAGAATACATTTATCGACTCCTGTAATGCCATATCTCATGAAAGTATCGACGCGATCAGGAGCAATCCCGGCACGTCCCCACAGCCTCAGTAAAACAGTGGGAACGCTGTTCAATTGAATGTGTGTATATCCTATTATTCGAAATCTCATTATACTTGTTAATTATTAAATTCTTTCCTTTATATATCGTTTCAACTATTACATCAGGGTCATGTCTATAAGATAAACTATAAGAAACTATCAGGTCGTCCTCGGTGAGGGGGACGAAATGGCACGGTACCTCCCGAGCCTGTCCTTGCGCGCGATCACCACCTCCCTGTCCTACAGGGGACCTGAGTTCTACGATATTTTGCATCATTAATCCTTACCGTGGACGAAAGTGCAATCGGAAAACAGGGTCTTTTTTAAAACAGGTAAACATGTAAACAGGTCAAGGATTGAAAACACAAATTAACTATGCATACGGACTCGTAACTTTTAATATTAAAATATCGACGTCCTCCGCGGAGCATTATAGTAGTGTTGCGCGCATGCGTATAAACGTAAAATCGCAAACTTTGGAAGGCTGTAACTTCCAAAATAACCATTTCCGCAAACTAATTTTTACTGGGCACCCCCAGTAAAAATCAGGTAAGTAGTAATCAGGTAAGTAGTTGAAAGTAGATGTTATATTTTGAGGAAATGAATTTAATTTAATGTGGTTAATTAGTGTATTAATTTTTGTTTTGTATGAGAGAAGACTATTGTGATAAAAAGTTGTTAATTGTGAGGAGGGAATTTGAAAATTTTGTAAAGTTAATTGATTTATAATGTACTTAATAAAGTTTATTTTTTTATTCATTTTTTTAATGTCACATGGATTATTCATTTTAATATGTCTATTGATTTTCTGTAATTTAATTTAATTTATGTTAAGTATGTGTTTTAAGAAAGGGGAATTTTTTTTTAACTTTATTATTGCAGGGTTTGATGTATTTATTAGGGAAAGGAATGATGATTTATTGTGTTTTGTTATTTTATTTATTATTTTTTTGTCTATAAGTGTTTTTATTGTATGTTTTAAGTTTTGTTTATTTAATGTAGTGTCATAGTTTATTGAGTAACAATGCGACAGTGTTACGAAGTGGGTGTACAATTCTTTGGTCTGAAAAAATAATATATTATGTATTAATAATTGTTATATGTGTTAATTATTTATACATTTACTTTTAGGAATTGATTCCTAAGAAGCAGACCAATCACTAGAATCTCCATGTAACTGAAATCGGGATTGCTGTAAAAGATGGGGTCCATTAGGAATTTAACGAAATAATCCCCGACGTCAATCATCATAAGGTTTTGTGGAGACTCATATCTGTAGAACAAAGATATTAAGTTATATAATTTTATAATAATAATAACACTCACAACATTTCATTGATATCAAAAGTCCTGTAAACTGATTCATCAATTTTATAGAGTACTTTTTGGAATTCATATTTTATTGTATTGTTAAATACGAATTCCCCGTACTTAGTATAAGCATCATTTACATTTTTATAAAACCTTTGTTGAAATGTATATAATAGATTTAACTGTGCACATTCATTGTATTGTTTAATGACGTCGTTTGCTAAACAAATTGCAATTTCATCATGGCTATAATAGAACAATATGAGGTTTATACGAATATATTATATGGATATACATTATAAAACAAAGAACATTGATGCTTACTATTTGACATCCACCATGTTACTAAATGGAAATATTATGAATTTTTTTATCCAATTGTGGACTGTCTGAAACCATCGTCACCATCGTTTTAAACTTGTCGAAATACATGGGTTTCCGAAAAAAAAAATCGAAAAATTCGAGTGAGCGCTAAATTAGAATTGTGTCAATTACTTTATTCGGAATATCATCAAATATATCATTGATTATAAATACTGGCATTCGGATTGTCTGTAATATATACAAGGGGACGATAGAGCCACAATTTTGTATTTGACCTACTCGCTCGACGAAACTGGTCGCAGCAGCGCAGGCCGCCGTGTCATCGGAGCGCTAGTGGTGATCGTATGCACGGCGGCACAGATGCATACTACATTGCTACAGCTATAGTATACTACCGCCGATCGCCGAACACAGACCACCCGTTAGGGCGAGGAAATCATTTTGAGCGGACAGTATTTTTTAATAATATATTCAATGTAGAATAAATATTATAACTCATATCGATTAATATTGACTGTATTCCGAATCTCATCACATTATGCCAACAAATATTTGGCTGACGGTCCATTGTGATAACACACAATTAACTATATTACTTAAAGAAATTATGATGACATCATAGGAAAATATTTCTCGTGCCGCGAACACCGCCGATCTCCGAATGAAACTTTGAAAAATGCGTTAGACATGTATTTGAAAGACACACGTTGAATATTCAAATTTAAAACCTAATTTAATAAGTATTTATTTATTTTATAGTTAACCATAATATTTATCATAATAAAAACAATTTGAATAGGTGGGTATTTAATATCTGATATTTTATCACTAAAAAACACTGAATATATTTTAATACCTACATTTTGTAAAATCTAAGTTTAATAATACATTTTGGATTAGGAACACGGTATAATATTGTTGTTTGAGACATGAAGGATCATGGTACACAGATGGTTTTTGCTGATAAATCATAAACAGAAATTAAAAATATTTTATACTCCACAACTGCATATTGTGCCCATCATTTTGCGTTCACAACAATACATTTTACTCTGTAATTTCTAAAATCAGACTGAAATTAATTCCTATAAAATTCTTAGATTATTATATTAATTATTTATATCTAGATCAAAAGTTCTCAAACTGTGATACGCGTACCACTGGTGATACGTGGAAGACACATGGTGGTACCCGGAAGGCAGCATTTTAGAACGGAAAATTGAAATTAAATATTTTTACTTGTGTTTGAAATGGTTAGAAGTACCTATAATATTTTTTTTATAAAATAATTTTAATTACCATACATACATTCATTATTATCACTTGATAATCACGTGTTATTATCATCATTGTGGTATCCAGCTCTTCTCAAAAATCCTGTGAGGTCCTCATCTTGGTTGAGTTGTTTCACATGGCTTGCTAAGACAGTGGTAGTGTTCTCTCGTTCCCTTCTTGATGCACTATCTCTAATCTGAAATGTAATTAAGTTAAAAAAAAAAAATTCTTATGTTATAACTTAAAATTGTGTGACATAAACGTAGCAGGCTCTTAGATATTTTCCATCACTTGGAAGACAATTTATGAATCATAAATAAGTACCTATTAATAAGTAAATACATTTTATTTGTTTCTATCAAGATAACCAAAGCTTTAGAAAAATAAAATATCTGTAACCAGCCCAAAAACAAATTTATGAATGTAAAAAAAATAAAAATAATCACACTGAGGTTCCTTCTGGCTTGGTCAAATTCAACAAAATACTGGTTTTCAAGAACAGTCAGTTTCTCTGTAGGAAAAGTAATTGATCAGAAGGAAATAAAATATAAATGATTGTAATATTTGATGTATATGTTAGTGCAAGACAGTTACATACATACAGTCCAATTATACCATAACCAGAAAAAAAAATTTAATATTTTAACTAAAATTCAAATTTTAAAACAATAGATTTAAATACTTCTCTAACCATTAACTCCTTCTTGTTAGGTGGTTTACACATTACATAAATGAGATATATATATAAACACAAACATATAGGACAATGAAGCAACATGAACCAACATATCCTGTAAGCACTTCATCTTATTAAACATGAAACATATAATAATACACATTATATGATACTTACTTATAAAAACAAACATATAACACAAGGATGCAACATTTAAAACACAACACACCATTACTGCAAAAACTCACGAAGAAAATTCCATATATTAGAATGTCTGTGCATTTGAGTTAACAGTGTAGCGTGGAAAGACTCCAAGTAGTTGTTGGTTCTGTATTCTTCTCCAAAAACACTAATTAAACCTGGACCGACCTGTAACAACCAAAAATATTCCACATACCCAATTAATTAGTTTCTCATATCTCGTTCAACTTCAGGAAATTGTCTTGTGTAGTCCAGAATAGCACTGAAACCATCGGCCATAGAAAATGAACAGCGTGGGTCATTCCTGGTAGAGGGTAGGTGAGGTAATGCCAAAACCTAAAAATACAATGCAGTATTAAAAAGAAATACAATAGAATACAGATATCAAACTTAAATTTACCATTCTGAGAACGCGAGCTGCTACTGGGTTTGTACGGATCAAATCCAAGACACTGTTCATCTTTCGGTGACAATACTGTACAATTGACTAGAAAAAAAAAATTATTTTTTTATTTTTGTTTTTGTTGTATAACTATCACTTAGTGCTTATGCCATACCTGGGTAAATGGAACCAACAGCATCTTAATTGGTTAAACACATTGATAATGTAAAGGCAAAATATTTCATACAATATCAAACAGAGCCGCATAATCTTCTTCAGTCATACTCCCCAGAAGAGCATAGACCATTGGAAAGGACTATAAAAAAATAAAAAAATTGTGAGAAATATATCGAGATAAAATAATTTAGACTATACATAAATAACATCAATTTTTCAACACTTGCAACACTTTAAAAAACAACCTGGATAGTAAGGAAACATTTCAAATCTGCTGGAACACGAGGCACAGTCTTGAACGTCCCATCAATCCCGACATACCGTGGCCAATTCTTCTCTGTATTTCTCAATTGCATTTATGTTCACAAAGGTTAGGTTAACCTTGCTGTTGGATCAAAGAGAAAATTTAACCATAGTTGGTTACAGGCCTATGCTCCTTGGCTTGCGTATTCGAAAATACTGAAAGGAGCTCTTTGTTTGTACTGTGTTCTGTTTCCACCGAAAAAAGTCCAAGGTGTTTTAGGTTCATTTATCATCAAACCTTTTACACGATACAAAGACATTCACGAGGGCTGTAGAAACCATATTTCCAATAATTGGCACCAAGGAGCAACCGAAGCAGCTAAAAGTTTTATGGAAGAAGTACCTATAAATATTATGATGGTATCCGGACACCAAAAAGTACTAGAACAAAATCGAAAAATTATTTCGTCCATAATTTCAAATGTACTATTTTGCGGAACCCATGATCTACCCTTTAGAGGAAAAGGTCAAAATGAAGGTAATTGAATAAAATCATTAAATTTATAAAATATTGGATTATTTAAATTATTTATTTTTGATAATTTTTTGATGTAGGAGTTTTCTATGACTTAATTCAAATGCGAATTGAAGCTGGTGATCAGTATCTCCAAAACCATATCGAAAAGGGCAAGCGAAATGCCATCTACACATCTCCGCAAATTCAGAATGAAATCATCAATATAAGTGGAACAGTAATCAAAGATTGTATTATTAATGATGTTAAAAAGGCTGTAGCTTTCAGTATAATGGCAGACGAGACCGCTGATATCTCAGGAACAGAGCAATTGTCTATTGGGATTAGATTTTTTGATGATGAGAAAAGGGCTATCAGAGAAGAATTTTTAGGCTTCATTGAACTACATGCCATGGATGCTGTTAACATAGCTAGTGCAATAGATCATTTTATTCAAAACGAAGGTCTCGATGGAACGAAGCTTGTTGGACAAGGCTATGATGGTTGCGCAACTATGGCAGGGAAAATCAATGGAGTGCAAACAATTTTACGAGAAAAATATCCACATGCTCTATTTTTTCACTGTGCAAGTCAATGATTTAAATTGTGTTCCAGAAATACGTAACACAATTTCAACGGTAAAGGATATCATAAACTTTTTTCGCGAATCTGTTTTACGTAGAAAATGTATCCCGAACATACCAGCATTCTGTGAGACACGATGGTCTCAAAAATATAGAAGTATTTCAATTTTCAAAGAAAATTTTGAGATAATTGTACATGCTTTAGATAAATTGTCAAAAGATGGGAACACTGCAACAAGAAAAGTTGCTTTTCAATTGTATGCTGTAGCAAATAAAAGTATTTTTATAATGAGTGTTATCCTCATAGCAAAATACTCTAAATTATTAGAGCCTGTTGTGAATGCTTTACAATCAAAAAATCTGGATTTGCTGAAATGCTCAAATTTTATAAAAAAAAATAGTAGTCATAGTGAAAGATCACCGCGAACACGCTGACACAGAAATTCAAGAATTATTAACTGCTGCAAACATAGCAGCTGAGAATATAGGAGCAGAAATTAATCTTCCTAGGATTGTTAAACAACAACAACATCGTTCGAATCCTCCAGCGTTAAATTCGGCTGAATTCTGGAAGAGATCATTACTAATTCCATACTTGGATTCATTAATATCCTCATTGGAACGGAGATTTTCTGATGAAAACATACCTGCTTTTTCACTTTTATTATTACACCCTTCAAATATGTTAGATATGAACACCAAAGAATTTAAACTTAAAATAAATGATTTTGCCAATTATTACCAAATTAAAGACTTGGAAAGTGAAGCAGAATTATTGTACAACATCTGGAAGGAGAAAAAACTGGCTAAAAGCAAACTATCAGACATGGAAATGAGTGAAGTAGTAGAAGAAACAGATATTTTCTTTCCTAAAATAAAACAAGCCTTGCATATTTCTTTAGCTCAGCCATGTACAACTAGCACTATTGAGAGGTCATTCAGTACGTTAAGAAGGGTAAAGACTTGGTTGCGTTCAACGATGACGGAAAACCGTCTGAATGGTAAATCAAAATAGTTTTTTTATATCAATGCTAATTAATAATTATATTAATATTAATCATATACAATGTAAATTATTTCAGGTCTATGCATACTAAGTGTGCATAGAAAGCTGCTAGATGAAAAAAAGGAAGAGATGCAACAGAAAATTCTCAGCAGATTTTGCGAAGACTCTAGACGATTGTCATTGTTATAATTTAAAAATAATGATTAATGAATAATATATTATAAATAAATACTTTAAAAAAAAATTGAGTTTTAATGATTTAAAGTTGGCTACATCACTGCCCCCCCCCTGATTGAAATCCTAGCTACGCCCATGGTCCCAGGTGTTGTGGTTGCCATTGGCGAGTAGCGCGCGTAGACCTTTTTTTAATTCCTGGTTACGGCGTTCGACTGGGTTGGCCCTCGGGTGATATACCGGATTTGTCCAGCCCTTGGCTCCCCACTGTTCGATCGCTTTACGCATATCGTTTGCTACGAACTGTGGGCCGTTGTCGCTTAAGCACACACGGGGGTATCCGAAACGTGAAAAGAATTCTCGTTCGAGCGTTTCGGTTATTGTTTTTGTAGTGGCTGTTCCGAGGGGGTATGCCTCGGTCCACCTACTAAACAAATCCGTGGCGACCAGTATATATTGTTTTCCCCTACTCGTGCGCGGGTAGGGGCCCATGAGGTCTATGCTTACCACCTCCCAGGGGTGGCGGGGTACTCTGGTGTTCGCGGGGCCGTCTGCGCGCGTGTTTAGTGGTTTGGTACACGCGCATATGTGACACGACTTGACGTACAGTCGGATGTCGTTTTTTTGTCCTTTCCAAAAAAAACGTTGTTTGACCGCCCTGTACGTTTCTTTCCAGCCCGGGTGGTTTGCGAGTACGTGATCGTGGTAAGTCCAGATCACGTTCTGCGTGTTGGTTTTTGGGATGACTACGGGTGTGTGTTCGCCCAAATTTATCCGGAGAAGACCGTCGGTAAAAATGAATTGTTTGTTTTTTTCCGAGGTACCTCCGGTATTGCGCGCTGGGTCGTCCGTTGTCATGTTGTGCGTTATGTCTCGTGTGTTGGGGTCATTGGTCTGCCATGTCACGAGCATAGCGTGTGTGATTGTGGGGTGACTTGTGGTGATAGCCGGGTTCGTCGTGGCGAACAGATTGTCGGCCGGTGAACTAGTAGTGGTGACGAGTGGTGAGGTGGGTACTCCTACTAGTCGTTCCTCGAGGTGTTCCTCGTCTACCGGGGGCCCGGTAGTCGGGTTGCGGGAGAGCATGTCCGGCGCTTCGTTCTGTACGCCGGGCACATGCGTGGTTTTGTAATCCAGGTTGGCCAGCTGTAGTGCCCACCCGGTTAATTTTGAGTTTGTGTTTTTGGCTCGGTGGAGCCACGTGAGTGCTGAGTTGTCTGTGTATAGGTCAAACCGGCGTGCCTCCAGGTATGGTCTAAACTTATCGGTTGCCCAGATTATCGCGAGGCACTCGCGTTCTACCGCGGCGTACCTTGTTTGCATATCACTAAACTTTTTGCTTGCGTAGGCGATTATCCGCCTTTCGTCCGGGCTGTCACCCCGTTGGAAAAGGACGGCACCCGCTCCTATCTCGCTAGCATCGGTCTGTAGGCAAAACGGTTTTCCGTAATCCGGCGTCGATAGTTTAGGCGAATCGTACAGGGCGCGTTTTATTTTGGTAAATGCCGCCTGTTCGGTTTCGGTCCACGACCATTTGGTTCCCTGTTTGAGTCTATTCGTTAGGGGCGCTATGGTGTCCGCGTAGTTGTCGACAAACTGGCTGTACCAGTTGCAAACGCCCAGGAATTTCCGTAGGTCCCTCAGCTTTGTTGGTGGGGGGTAGTTAATGATGCCCTCTAGTTTCTCCGGTTGTTTGTCTATACCGTCGGAGGTGACTAGATGTCCAAGAAATGAGATTTCGGTCGATCCGAATCTGCATTTCTCGGGGTTGCATGTCAGCCCGTGTCTCTGTAGACGTTCTAAAACTTTGTCTAAGTGGCACTGGTGTTCATCCGTAGTGTTCGAGAACACCACTATATCGTCTAGATATACGCGGACGAACTCGTCCAGGTACCCCCTCAAGACTTCGTCCATTAGTCGCACAAAGGTCATGGGGCTGTTTTTGAGGCCGAAGGGGAGGACTCGGAATTGGTATAGGCCCCGACGCGTCCGGAATGCCGT